TCCACACTGTTGATTTGAATTACTGTTATTGAGCAGCGTACAGAGAGCACACGAATTGTATAGTCTTTATTTGTATCTCCAGCAAACAATCATTCTAAGTAAAAGCAAAACCAGCAGTTTTGTAGGTATTATATATTTTTTCTATTACGTTAGCATAAGCCGCTGTGCGAAGATCTAAGCCCAAGTTGTACTTTCGGGCAGTGCGAATAATGGCTTCTCCCGAGCGGATCATCGTGTATTCAAGACCGGAATGTACGATATCCTGAAAAGAAAGGATTAGAGATGAGCCAATGACAAACATGAGGAATGCAGCGTCCACGGAATGGACCGTATCCCTTCTCCATGATTCTGAGAGCTGACATCCCTACCTTCCGAAAATAATTAGCCAAAAGAAAATAAGAAGTCGCTCTCTTACATACGACTATTGAGAAATCCGTAAATGTGCGCAGTCATCCACCGTCTGTGTTGTTCGGAAGGCAAACTGCTGGGAAGGTGGTCCCTTCGAGCTGATAAAGCACTCACCAAAGATAGAGGTAGAAAGCCATAGATTTCCCTTTTGAAGTGAACCATTGTTCTGTCAACAACGTTCTGCAGGCCTACTGCCCACCGTGCTCCAAAGTGCTCGGAAACGCAGTTGAATAATAACATCGTATTACATCATATGCAAGTTCTACAGCGACTACGGGTAAGCAATTTGGGCGTCTCAAGAAAAACTTCAGCATCTCGTGAACGGCCTTCCAAATGTCGTGTGGAAAAGATTACCTTTTCGCCTGCTCCAGCAATTCTTGCAGCGAAAGCGTCATTAGGGATCACAGGAGCTTCCTTGCCGATAGCCTTCTCCAATGAGTCTTGTACAGATTCTAGAAAGTTGAGTATCGCAGATTATTCGTTATGTTACGAATGAATTGTTGCCAAACTCTCCGTAGAAATCTAGCGTTCTCAAAATCCTTGGCTGCAAGATACCGTCAATATAAGGTTAAATCACTACAGGTTACTTTGGAAGCTTGAACCGGTAAAACAGCCGTCTATACCTCATGATTGTCATTGCTAGGACGGGTTTAAACTGTGCAATCCCGGCGTCCGTTCGAGAAACAGAATAGCATGAAACTGCTTCTAGACATTTGTGCAATGAATGAATTTTGTTCGATTTTTAAACTCCTTCAAGCTGTGCAGGGCTCACTCACTGCTTTCTAAGTAACCGTGCAGCTCGGTGCAGAGTTAAAATGCGGCTCTTCTGCAGCAAAACTCAAAACTATTTAATGCTTTGGTACACGCGTTTTATAGCTGCCGAGGCGGCAGCGGCATTGCAAAGACGCTCGAGTCTGGCTGCCCGCTGCTGTGGCGCAAGTAAAATAAGTGTGTTCTTTACTGGAGACGGATGCTGTCAGCGAACGATTCAACAGTGCGACGGATGCTTGGTATCATTATAAAGGGCGAGCAAGAATCACGGTGTCAAGATAAATTAATCATAAAAAACCAACGTGACCGAAAGTTCCGAATCAACAACAGCAGCGCATTGGTGGAAGGCTGTCAAACAGAAAGGAGCGCCAACTTGCAGTGGGTGTTGTCAGGCTCAAAAAGTTCTGTTAACTAACCAATCGATGGTCCATACGATCACTCTTTCTTTTCAGATCGAAGGCCTCTGGTTGTTGAGTAAATTGTATGCTAATGATATTGAGAAAATATTGTATCCTTCTATTTTATAAAGCGCTAACTTTGTGTGTCGGTTTGTATGTCTGTATGTGTGTGTGTGTGTATGTATGTATGTATGTGTGTATGTATGTATGTGTGTCCGTCCGCAAAATGAAGTGAGTGAGAAGGAAGCTCATGGGATAAACAAACCGCTAACAAATCGGGTAGCTTACAGGATTTGAGATATCAATGTTTTGTAGCAGGATAGTTGTGATAACACTCTTAGGGCTATATAAACACCTGCTTAGCACCAGGGTCAACCCTACGTTGTTACGAGTAACAACGGGGGGTCGTACTCAGTTGAGCTTGGAGGGAGGGGGGTCGTACCCTCTCGGTGGCCGACAGTGGGATTCTTGGTAATATCGGATAATAGCCAGCACGTTACGTTTTCGTAAGATGACTGATACTAGAGCATCTATAAACCACGATTCCCTCTAAATGAGCTTTCAAATGAATCAGCGAATTAGAAGGGCGCCCGAGGCGTGGCGCGCACCAAGGCAAGGGATGTAGTGCAAGCGCATGCTCGGAGCTTTCTAGCACATCCTAATTAAACATAAAATTGGTCTTCCAAGAAGTTACGGGCAGTGAAACCTAAGAAAACTCGCGTTTTCGAGAAAATGGCTTGAAGAATACCCCTCAAAATAAAAAGTAACAACGGGCTAATTTTTGAACTGCTGATCTTGAAGTTTTACTCTTTCGGGCTTCATCGACCATCTCTAATTTGATCTCAGATGGGTGCATTTTCGCCGTACAATCCTCCCATCATTATTAGTATGGCTCTATTAGTCTCACATTGGCCTTATCTCTTCGCTTCACTTGGACATTGTACATTATTAGCTTGTTCCAGGAATTAATGCGGGTTTCGATGTGTCATACTCTATTAGACATTTTTCCGAAAAATTTAATTTTGATTGTTATTGCATATCATCGGCAAGTCATTTCATTCTCTTTCTTATGCTGCTGTTGTATTTCAAAAAACTCTGAACTCTGCTCTTTCCAAAGATTTGAAGACGTCAAAGCAGTAGTTTAAGCAAGTTCACTTCTGTGGGTTGAAATTTGGAGAAAGTGCAGACAGCTTGAAATGGGATTGTTGTGAGGGGGAGGGCTAAAAATGATCCAACACACACTGCACCGATTACTTCAAAGTTTTCAATGCAAGGAACTCAAGATTTAAAGTGAGGTGTGTTACGAACGTCATTCTCCTTTGACGACATCCTTCCGGGTCCGGCAGAAGAAGATTCTTAAATAAGTGTACGACGGCCAGCAGCATAACCTGAGCAAGCATATCAAAAATTTCGGAGCGCCTGGAGGTACTTGGGAAGGTAAGAAAACTGGACAAATGGGCACCGCATGGGCTGATTGAGCAGCAGTGAAGTGCCCCTTCAGAGATCTCGTCAGAACTTGTTTTACTTATGGTTAGCAAAAATTCCAGCTTATGGAACACCTCGCCATCCTTGTAAAAATTGGATTTTTTTGCGATACAGTCAAGCAATGAGACGCAGGCGGCAAAGTCAATTAAAGTCTTTCGCAGAAATTCCACATTGTGAGGACCAAGCTGATGGTTTTGTGGCCTTAACGATGCATCAAACTTTCTGGACTCAGGTGAACTTGATACAGCACCAAGGTCTGTCCAACGCACTTACGTGATTCACCGGAATCAGCAAGGTTTGTATCTGAAAGAAGTACTGGTTTTCCGATTGGACATCCCATGCCGCCCATCCACCTGTCAC